TCTTCTCTGCCTCTTCCAGTCCTAACCCGCTTTGAAAATGTAAATGAGTCCAGCATCTTTCGGAGTGTCTTCCTGGGTCACTCGCTGTGTCCTTCAGACCCCATGCTACAGAGGAAAGAGCCCTGGAGACTAAGGTTCAAGTTCCAATGTTGCCACCAATTCTCTGCATGACCTCTCTGTGAGTTATTTCCTTTCTCTGCAACTCGATTTCCTCTTCTGTAAAATGAGGGCTGGACCGACTTGTTAGCAACACCAAGCTCTCCCACCTTCTGTGCTTCCTCCCCCAACCTCGCTTTGGCATAGTCTCAACTAGCAGGAGTGCCGTCTGCAGGAGCCAAACTCTAGGACATTTTATTTATTCCAAAATTCAAGGGCTGGAGATTTCTTCACAGTAAATGAGAGGGGCTTAAGATTAGTACTGAAATTGGGAGGTCTTTCTCAGGAGTGGAGGAGCAATCTCCTGTTGAGGAAGGGCTCCTGCCCACACTCTCCCCTAGCAAGGGCAAGAGTCAGGCTTGGGGGAAAGGAGGCCACTTGGATTATTAAACTTTAGCAAAGCAAGTTTTCTATGTGATCAGACCTGGCTCAAAAGAAGGTCAAAGCTTCAGCTGACTCCTGGTCTGTTCTGGTGGCAGAGGAAGGGATTTCAGTGTTCAAGGCCTCTCTGGCTTTACGTATCTTTAACCCTTGCTTCTCTTCCATCCTCCACTTTCCTCACAAATTGAGTACAAACCTAGGCACACAGAAAATATGCTCAGTCTGATGGTCGAATGTGGCAGAGAAAGATGCTTATGAGAACTTAAACAGGAGCACACAGATTTCATCAAAAGGGCAAGTGTGGCTGTACAATTATTTGTTGTTGAGCAGACCAAGTCTATGACATCAGGAGATGTGAAGCATGGTCTCCGAAGTATCTTTGTAAAGGGATAGGTTTGCCTCACAACTTCAGCTTCTGCTTTAAGAACATGACGGATACCTTTTGAAAATACAGTGTAGTAGTATGGACTTGCTAGAGCGCAAATAATTCTTCGGGTGGGGGCAGTTTCTCCAGAGTGTTTCTAGAAGGCTCAGAGAGACTCCAGCTCATCTTCTGCTGAGGTGCAATTGATGAACACTGAAACTCTTGGTAGGTGCCCTGTTGGATCTTGGCCATGTATAGTACCACATGGTTCTGTCTCCCTTACCAGGACATGGAATGATTAAATTGGGGGGTGAGGGTCACATGTGTTCTTCAGCAACAGGGGTTATTATGAAGCTGGGCAGAATTTGTGAGGAAATGCATCTGCAGAAAGTTAGCCAAGTGGAATTAGGCTTTCTTTAAGGTGCTTTCCTGGCTCAGGCCTGGCCCAAACTGGCCAGTGTGTCTTGAGGCCCTGGGCAAGGATCCAAGTACCGCCTTCCTGAATTGCTCCTGGAGGAAAAGGAACCTGTTTCAACTTTCTCTACTTCTGAAAGTGTTACTTTGATTAGACAGGAGATAGCAGTCTGTTTACCAACATTACTATTATTACTCTGTCATGGTTATATTTTTAAAGTATACTTTCTTTTTCCTTTGCCAAGAGCAAACGAAAACACACATTCTCCCTGCAGAGCCAACTGAAGCTTCGTTCCCAGGTAGGTTTGAAAATGTGTTCAAGACTCACTATTGCCCAAGTAGGAAGTCTTTCCCCACACCCAGGTCAGGGCTTCATGCTTTTTCAAAAAATACGATAAACTCTTTTTTTAGAAAAATAAGTTTTATTATGGCTATAAGAGTAACACATTTTATTTATACAAGTATTACTCGGAAAATACATAAAAGCACAGAGAAAAACAAGCATCACCTATAATACCAGAAACTCAGATATAACCATTATTCAAATTTTGGTGTATTTCTTTCTAGTGTTTTCTCCATATATTGATACAAAACTATGGATGCAAAATGTTCCCAATACACTTATATATACATATCAGGAACATATTGCAAAAATAATTCTGCACCTTACTTTAACTACAAAAGGAGATAACTAGGATTAGATTTTTGGTTTCTTCGCTCCATCTTTTTGTCTGTATATTGATACAAAACTATGCATGCAAAATGTTCCCAATATATTTATAGTACATATTAGGAACACATCGCAAAAACAGTTTAGCATCTTTCTTGGATCGCTTATGGTGCCACAGTTTAGAGACAACCACCTTTAGACTTTTGATCTGCTTCCTCTAGGAATTTTTTCCATATTATTGACACAAAACTATGAATGCAAAATGTTCCCAATACATTCATATTACATATTAGGAACACATCGCAAAAATAGTTCAGTATCATTTTTTCTTTGTTTTTATTCTTGGTGCTGGGGATTGAACCCAGGTTCTCTCATGTGTGCTCTACCACTGAGCTACTCTGCTAGGCCCTGGCATTCTTTGATCACATATTAGACCACTACTCAGAGACGACCATTACAATGTTTTGATGTATTTCCTCCTAGCTTTTTATCTGTATACTGATACAAAAACTATGCATACCACATGCTCCCTATATACTTATGGAGAAGGGAAATAGTTTGCATATTTCTTTTATCACTAAACACTTTATCAGAGTACATTCTCATGTCACAAAAATATTTTCCAAAAAATTATTTTAAACAAGGCATCTTATTCCATTGTACTAGATACACAATATTTTATTTATGCAATCCTTTGTTGTTGGTCATTCAGATGTTCCTAATTTCCATCCTTAAAAAATACTGAAAAAGCGTATTTCGCTTTTTCACTGACTTGCTGTTCTTGGAGTTTTTGTGTTGATTCTTGACCATGTGTGGCCTCAACATACTAAAGATAAGCTTGTGTATATAATACTTACAGCTACATTTTTTCCAGTTCTGGTTTGTTTGAACATAACTTCTTTAACATTCTAGCCTAAATATAAAATCATATACTCTGTGTGGGTTTCAGTTCACTACATAGAAATATAAAGCAATAAAGACATTTGCATTTAACTCCTATGAAAACACAATTCATGCCCCCACTCGATGGCCACCAGCTTCCTCCTCGCGTAGGGCCCGCTTTCCTCTTGATCTTTTCATAGACTGGTCTTGTAATACTTACCACATGTATGGGTATGAAGATGGGTGGCTCCCAGACCTTTCAGTTATCAATCTGTCACAAGTGCACAGTGGTATCTCGTGACATGATGATCCCCGAAATGTCTGAGGTCTTTCCATTCTTGACCCAAAATTTTGATATTGTTTATGATCCCTAAAGACTTTTTTAGAGAATTCTGTTTGACAACAAAAGCCACAGCCTAACAAAAAAACCCATGAAAAGTAGACAGAGAAAAATCTTCTGGTCTAATCCTACCACTATTAAGCAGCAAGTAATGTTTGTTTTACAGGTTCTCTCCAGTTTCTGCTCTTACTTTTCAGTCATTGGAGTCCGTGTGATTGTGCCTCCTTGACTTTGCTATCATAAGCATTTTTCAGGCTCCTAGGTCGTCTTTATTATTTGTAATAGTCAAAAAAGGTTCTATGAGTAACCAAATTAACTCCTATGATTGGATGTTCCAGTTGTTTCCTTAAGATTAATTTGGGTGAATTTAAAGAAAATAGCAAATATGGGCCAGGCAATTTAAAAATAAATTTTAATCACACTTTTTTGGTTTGTGTGCAGTGCCTTACACACATCTTGCTGATTCACAGTTACTACTTTGGAGTCTGAGGGCCAGTCTTAGGCCACACTTAGGAAGAGTCCAGCTCATTTTAAGACTAAATCAGTTTCACCTGGCACTTTCCTGATCAATCATACTACTTCAACTCCATTTCCTGTTCTGGGCACTACTGTATAGTGAGCTCTCATTAACAAGTAAGGACATGTGCAGCACAGCTTAATCCTTGAGGAGACCCCAGAGACTAGCCGAGGACAAATCTTTAACTTCCAGAGACCTAGGTTTTCTTGTTTATAATTGTTTTTGACTGCTTTACTCTGCTTACTTATTTTTCAAGGTTGTTGCAAGCAACAAATATGAAGGCATCTAGAAAGTAGATAAAAGCATGACACAGTGACAACATGTTGAGATTATGATTCTAAACTGTGTCTCTATGGCTGGCCCTTTAAAAGATCCGGTCTTGGGATAATAAGTCTGGGAGCAAGTAGAGGTGGGGAAGTTGAAAAGCTAGGGGAGCTGCCTCAGGAGATTCAGACTTCCAAGCAACCAAGTGAGTCTCTCAGCCTGCTCCATTGTTCTCAGCTCCCAGACTCTAGAGGTGAGGCTGGGACCTCCTCCCCAGAAGTTGCTCAGATTATAGAGCTCAGTAGTGTTAGGGGAGGGCTTCAAGGCTGGTGCAACCACAGGAAGTGGAAGTCTTTCAGGGATCCTCCCTAGTGACTCATTTTACTGTCCCCACAGGTGTTTAAGCCCTTTTGAACTTGCCAAAGAGATCAATTATGGGGCCTAGGAGGGAGGCAAAGGTGCAGATAGGTAAAATATTAGGAAAGAGCTAGCAGATTCTTATTCATTTAGTGAGCAGTAACTAATGGGTGGATATGAGAGGGGCATATGGTGGGGCAAGGAGATGCACATTTGCTATGATTGGTGTATATGGACTTTTTCATTTAAGGGTAAAGCAATAATTAAGTACAAATGCATATATAAAGCTCTAGAGTTGTGAGAGTAATACTGCAGGCCAACCAGAAAATAGATTTCTAGAAATTTATGCCAATATGGATATAGTCCCCTTACTCAAAAGTCTTTTTTAATTCCTATCAGTAAACTCTCATTGATCTTCCCCAAACATGCTTTTTAAACTTATTTTTATTTTCCTCTTGCACTGTCTCTTGGGGAAGCTGCCTGTATGTTAACTCCCACCTTGTAGAATAGTTTTCCCTAAGTGTTGCCCTGAGCTCTTTGGTCCAGGATTCTTAAGATTCCAAGAACAAACCCATTCCCCTGCTGTGCCCTCTGCCTTGACAAGTTGACAGGTATGGTGTTTTAAAACAATTTGCAAAATAATTTGCACTGCAGAGTCCTTATGAGGTTTTTTTTAATTGGACAGTTGCTCGTATTAGCGGAAATCGAAAGCAGCATACAATCATTTAATCTCCCAGCACTGGAGTATTTCCAACTGTTTTCCTGTTTGGGGTTCCACTTTTGTCCTTGTCTGTACACATGCATAATTTTTTACAGAGTTGCAACCACTGCCTTTTTCTGTGGCCCTGGTTATTGGCATCTAGTTTTCCAAGTAACATTGACACACATCTGCTCAAATCAATTGACGCTCCCTTCATAACTGACTCATTTGGCCATTTGGCGGGAAAAACAAGTTTACGTGCCAAATGGAACAAAGAAAGCATGGGTATGGGGGAACAGCAGGAAGAAAGAAATGGTGGAAGAGGATTCTTTCGACTTACAGATCATAAAACATTTTCCAATAACATTTTTAAAGTATGTATAATATTACACGGCGTGATTGATTATATTTTACTCCCCCCCCCAGGTGGGACATTTGGGTGGTTTTCAATACCTAGTGAGTTAAAAATGCATATAAATTACAGCCTTTGAAAGATGATTGTATTTTCTTGAAACAGGAGTCTTCTGTGTCCAGATCCCCACCAAGAGCGTTGATGTAGTGTTCCTTTGTTGGGAAAGAAAAAAAAAAAATCAGTGCTCCTAACTGGAGTTGCTGGATGCCTTCAAAACACAGTCCTGTGATGAAATTTTTACAAAATAATGATGCAGTTTATCAAAGTAACCTGTATATCTTGTCCCACAACTTACAGAAATGTCAGTTTAGATTTAGAACTAGGCTGAACTTCTTCTTTAAGAACCGTGTCTGCCTAATAAAATTTATACAATGCTGCATGCACGCAGCTTCCTCACTAACAAATAACATGTGTTGGGGAAAAACTGAGAAAACAATGGAAAGGTGCCTTTTTGGAGGCAGTAACGTTGGGTACATTAATCAGCAGACTATAAAATGATTCACTTTATACAAGTCTCCCACACATTATGATGCGCATTTAGCAACGTTGAAAAAACAATTTCAAAGGAAACCTTAGGGAGTTGTTAAAGAGAATTTATAGTCTGGAACGAATTGCCATCTTAATTGACAAAGAAATGTTTGGCTAAAATACTGCTTTATTCACATTTTTGTCCTTGGAGAAAAATCTAGGCACACCGCAACTTTGTGTAAATAAAAGGTGCAAGGAATGTTTTAAGTCAGAAAAGGGCACCGTGTAGTCAGGGGTTGTGCTTTCATGCTCAATTTCTTCAACTCTTGGGAGGCCAGGCAAAGGGCCTCTTAGACTTTGGAAGGCAATGGCCCCAGGTTAGGATCACTTGTTCCTGTGTCTCACCTGGGTCCTGCAGGTGCCCACTGCAGGGAGCGGGATGGCGCAGGCAAGGTCCTCGGGAGGGCTGGGTGCCTCCAGAGCCCGTTGGCACTTTCTCCTCTGGCTGAAGAGAACTATTTAGAACCAGGAGAAAGGTGCTGGTGAGCCACAGAAGGGGAACCTCAAGGTGCTCTGCCTCCAACCCTAAGTGCAAAGGCAGGCTGACTCCGGGAACCTGTTTGCCCTTCGTGCCAGGGGATTGCGGGCCAGAGGGGCCCTGGCCTGCGCGGGCGGGGTGGGCGGGGTGGGCGGGGCGGCCGGGAGCAGCGCGGGGCTTAGAGGCCTGGAGATCTCTGGGTGGAGGCCGGTGGCCGACAGGGGCCAGGCCACAGTGCCCCTGGGAGCCCGCGGGGCCGCGCTGACACCTGGCTCAAGGGAACCTGGGAGAGCTAGCTTTTTGGGTGACTGGAGCTGGACTCCCTTTTCTGTACTACCTGGGACCCTGGGCCTCCCCAAACTGGAAATCTTCTGGGGTCCTACGGCTGCTCCCTCAGGGAAGACCAGTTCAAGGCAGCCCTCACAGTAGACAAGCCGATTGTGTTCTTGTGTTCCGTTTTTGTCTGTTAAGGTGACAAAAAACGTGAAATGCGTTTGCCAATAGTCCTGTCCCTGACCGTGCATCAGATCAAAAAATTATCTAAAGTGATTTTCACAGGAAAACTAAGACCTCAGTCAGAGAACCAGTCCCTTTCTCTGCTTATTTAGGCCGTCAAATTCTTAGGTGATTCCAGACCTGTTTTCTCACCAAAGACTCAAAGGGCCAGTCCAGTGAGGGGAGAGGCGGCTTAGGGAATTACAGATATACAGCACGAATTAGCCATATCATGCAGAGTTTTGGACTCACAAAGGGTTCCTGGGGAGACAGCTCTGGTGCTGTTAGCCGGTTCCCTGACAGTGGGAACTCTTTCGAGGCCTCTCCGGCAACAATGGTTGTCTTTCGGGTGAGCCCTGCATGGTGACATTCTGGGACCAGCTTTTGGGAAAGGGGGTCAAAAAGAAGCTGGAAAGGCAGAGCCTCATCCTAGAGGCACCCCTCAGGTCCCTGCTCTCTCTCCAGGCCTCAGACCCAGATCCAGCACTCAGCTGCCTTCTCAGGCCACCTGGGTTCTCCTACATGCTGGGCCTCACCCTTCTTGGATTCCTGAGCTCTAGGGAAGCCCTGGCCCTTGGGGGAAGGGAGGGGAGATGTGGGAAAGGGCCTGTTAATCTTTCCTGAACCCCAAAGTCCTTTCCACTCTCAAGACAGGAACCACAGAAAGATCTGACCACCCTTCACTCCTTTTCGAATGCCTCCCCCATTTCCTCCTTGGGCTTTCTTCCTTGTGGTCCTGTGGATAGTATTCTACCTGGGGGGAGAGGTGGGTGCTAAAATGAGCCTCTGTCATGCCCTGTCACCTATTCAAAGACGGGCAAATGTTTCATGGAGGACAGGTGTGCTAGTCCCAAGTCTCTCTGCTTCTAAGGTGGGCACTGCAGGTGATGGCTGAGACGTACCTCATGGTTGTGCCCGTGGAGAAGTCCCAGACTTACCCTGGCAGCAGAAACAACACTCCAGAGCACAGATCACTCACTGCAGTACTGTTCCCGCTGCTAGGGCACGACTGAGTGTGGGCCACTGCGTCCCTGCTAGATTAGCTGCCCACAGCCTGCGAGTGACCCCTGGTAGGTCACCCCCTTCCAGTGCCACAGAGCAATGCTACCCTCTCCTGACTGAGACCAAGCTTCTAAGGGCAGGAAAGGGCAAAGACCAACAAGGAAGAGACAGAAACCCTCCTCACCCACCTACCTACTCCCAGCGAGCCGGCCTTGAGCGCAGGGGGTGAGGGGGTGGTTGCTTCCAGCTGATCCCCTCTTTCTACCTTCCCACGGGGGGATATAGCAGCGCCTCACGTTTTGAATCCTTTTGAGCACTTCAAAACATGAATTGCTGCTGCACCCCCTCGGAGTCAATGGAGGAGGCTTGGTCAGGGGTACCTGTGAGTGAAGGACAGAGTGACAGGAAGGAAGCTCCATCACATCCTGCCCAATGCAGATGATTACATAAAATTTGTGATTAGGACGCATCACTCCAAATTGACCTACTTTTAGTAACTTCACCTTTTGATTTCCAGGATCAGTAGGTGGAGCAAAGGGTGTGGCTGTCATTTTCCCTGAGGATGAACCTTGGAAAAGTGGTAGTGGTGAAAAGCCAGGGGATAGGAGACAGAAATTAGGGTGGGAGAGAATCTTACCTCTGCAAATAGACAAAAATAAGATTAACTAATTTAAGACAATTTGGTAACATCTCGATCACTGTTGCCAGTGTCCAAGTCTTGGTGAAACTCCTGCTGTGTAAGTCTCATTCACTGTCCCCAGTTAGACAAACAAAAAATCTTTTCCTTTATTGGATAGAGACACCGGTGACTCAAGACCCTCTAGTACTGTTGGCTAATTCTAAGGTAGAATTGTGAAATACAGATTCGTCTACACAGGCATCAGATGTCTTCTTCAATTCATTACTAGTGATTTTTTTTTCATTCGTAAACAGCTTGCTTTGAGTTAGTTTTAGGGGCGAATAAAGAGTGACAATTTTCTGTAGGTGAAATACCTGATTGTCTCCATATTATACTGGTTGCTCACACTTCTTTATAAATAATTTATACCTCAATGTCATCTATCAAAACACAAATCAAAAGGTTTAAATACTTAATGTCAAATTAGTTCTTTCTCAAGCGACTCCACAGAAACTCTTTCATGTCCTGAAATGGCCAGTGCTGTGCATACTCCTTAATGATTAAGCTTTTTCATACCAGTTTTTCTTTTTTAAAATGGACACATATTTGCAGCAAGTTACATGCATCCCCCTCCTTTTGTTCAAACAAAATATTCAAGTAAGCTTAAGAAAAAACCCTACCCTTAAGCAGCCCTCAATCACAAACCTAAAAATTAAAACAAAACCCAAACTATAGTGACTTTAAAAGTCAAAATACATTTTATTAAAGTAAAGGATATTCAAAGTATCTAAATATGCTAAGTGTTTTGTTTCATTTAAAAATTTTGTTGGTTTCATAAAACCTCTACAATAATGAATGTTATATACCCTATGTATTAGTTAATAAAATGTGCAGTTTTTAATGAGATTAACTACAAAATTTACAACACCGTGGACTGAGATCCAGTGCTAACAAATACACTCTGTGTCATGATAAACAAAGTCATTAATAATAATAACCTCAGTCCCTAAGTCAGGAAAATTAAGTGTTTCTAAATTCTGTCCCGCTTTGGCTATATTAACAAACAACTTTTACTTTGATCTTTGGGTTTAATGGAGAAAAAAGTCGTTGGTTGCCCTTGAAAAGAAAAAAGAAACATGTTTAGCAAATGTACAATTATACTTTAAAAGCCTGTAATTGTCAATTAAATATGTTCCACGCGAATATGTGAGCCATCACATCAGACGTTAAAGTCATTCCTAATTTAACATTTCCTTAGTTGACTACTTAGATAAACAAGTTCATTCGAAATAACATCGATGCCAAAGGCGAAAGGTCCTTCCAGATTGCTTTGTAAACTAACACTGGAATCGAATTCTTTTATACCTTTCACTAGACACCTTGCTTCTCTTCCAGTGACACTACAACGACTTACATCCCTAAAAAGCCATCTCGCTCCCTCAGTTGATATATTTCCCCTTAGCCTGAAATTTACTTACGAAAAGAGAGTACAAAGAAGCGCGTCCTGTCACTTCTGGGGAGGGTCATTTGCTGATACGATAGACAAAGAATCGATACTTTCGAATTGCCATAGCCCCACCCTCTTCTGAACTGCAGAAGTTTAGCCAAATGATTTATGCCTCTTCTACTGTTCATATCTTGCAAGAGTATCTTTTATTTTTGCAGATGCCTTGTTCCCCACATCCCAAACCCACGATGTACCTTCCATCCGCGCATTCGAGCCTAACTGTCTCAATGTCAAGTTCCCTACAGGGAAAACTGAGCAAACTTGGAAGTTTTAATTCGGGAGAGACAATGTAAACTTAATCTCACAGTCCTCTCCAAGGCATATTTTACTGCTTACAAATAAGTCTCCAAAAGTCCATTTACATTCTGTCAAAACCAGTCGCTCCTGACCCTTGAGAGGCTGACAGTCGGTCACTGCCTCTTACTCAGTTTTCTCTCCCCGCCCTCCACGTTAACTTTTTCTCAGCCCGTTTCCTGAGAATTTTCCGGGCCCCACTCATTTGCTCAACACTTTAAAGGTCTGTTTCGCCCCCCACTCCAACCCCCCAAATGTGCTTTCCAACCCCCAAAGCGGCACAGAACTTCTTTCAGAATCATCACCAGATTTGTTTCAGTCGGCCGTTAACCAACGTTACGATTGGGAAAAAGGCCAGCCAACCAGTCCCTTTTTAAAAAATCGCATGTCACCTCTCGCTCCACTCGAAAATGGCGCCGAAATCGAAGAACTTCTTAAATTCCATTGCAAGCTTTTTGCAATGGTTTCTGGGATTTTCCTGCGAGGCTGCTCTGCTGGGTCTGAAGGCTCGAGAAAGAACAAGCAGGCAATCGAGACCGAGAGAGGAAGGAAAGGGTGGGTGGGGAGGCGGAAAGACCGACGAGAGCGGGGAGAGAGAGGGAGCGGGAGGGAGCGGGAGGGGGGGGGAGAGAGCGAGAGAGAGCGGCGAGAGAGCGGCGAGAGCGCCAGGGCCAGGACTGGAACCGCGAAGTCGCAGGGCGCGAAGTGCCAGGCTCCGAGCAGCGGGGACGAAGAGCCGAGTCGCGGCCTGGAGGGCTGGCAGCAGCCGGAGCTAGGGCGTGGCGGAGGCAGAACGGCGCGGCGTGGCGCTAGGAGCCCAGAGGACTGCGCCTGGGAGGGCGAGCAGCCGCCGCCAGCCCGGAGCCCCGAGGAGCGGCCCTAGAAAAAGCTGGCTCGGGGGGCGTGGTCCCGGGCGCCCCGCTCCCGCCCCCGCTCTCCCGCTCCCCTTTGGCCCGGGGCGGGGGCGGAAGGGGGAGGGGAAAGCGGGCGCTTCGGGGAAGGGAGGGGGCACTCGGCGCCTCAGCCTTGACTCTCAGCCCCGAAGGGCCGAGAAGGGCACAGGACGCCCACGACCGCCAAATACGGAAAAGAATGGGAGGGGGGCTCAGAATTAAAAAGGGAGAATGGAAGCTGAACGCCAAGGGCACGCGGTAGCTTAGCGCGCACGCAGAAACCCACGGGAGGGAGGCCACTCTGCGCTCTCGAGTCCTCCTAGATGTCCTTAGAGCTGCCATGAGGGCACAGAGTGGCTCAGAAAAGCCTCTAGCTCTGTTCTTCCGCGGGAAGAAATGGTCTGGGAGAGGAAAGGAGATCTCAGACTGCAGAAGTGTAGCGCTCTCTCCACCCGGTTGAGTCCCAGTCCCCTGTCCTGGCCACTCTACCAAGCTCTCAGGTAGAGAAGTCCCTGGGACAGGAGGAGTGCCTAGTGTCCTGGCCATCTGTTTGCGGGACGCAGCACGGAGGGAGGGAAAAATTGTTTACACATGTGTCCAGGCCAAGACGGGAAAAGGATTTTGAGAGTGAAGTGAGGAAACAGGAGGGAAAGCAAGTCCTTATTCTGGATGCTAGAAGCTGGTAGGGACGATGCCCATTTGTAGGTGTGAGAATGATGCTGAAGGTACGCGGGAGGGTGCCGTCCCTTTTTAGAAGATGCATGCCAAGGTATTGAGAGGTGAAATGTCAAGACGCCTGCAGTTCGCGAATGACACAGCTAACATATATATGCACACACTCAGAAAGTATGGCAATCTGCAAACAGTTGTTGCATCCTGGTAAGTGGATAAACAGACGTTCGTTGTACTGTTCCTTCAACTTTCTTGTATATTTGCAAAATATCATAATAAAAACTTGGGAGAAGTCCCTTATAGCTCCCGAATGCCAAGAAAATGAGCGCGGCTTCTTTCTCTCCTTGTCCCGGGTGGGACAAATCTTTGAGCAAGTCGGGCTCGAATTTAGTGGGATCTAGAAGAAAAGAGCAATGGATAGCGCCAGCCTGCAGCCGTCACAACCCTGGGCACCACAGTACCTGGAGGGGCCACGGGAACCTCGGAGCAGGTGGGCAGCGGCGCGCTATGTGCTTCGGAGGAGTTGCTCAGAAAGCTGGCCTGAGGACACGGGGCAAAGGCTGGTTTTCCGGCAGCTCTCAGTGACCCCAGGGCTCTACTCTGCCTCGGTGGGTTGAGCTGTGCCGCGGACTAGCAAAGAAACCCACGGATCGCACAGAGCCTTGCGCTAGTAGCTGTGGCCACGCTCCCCCGGGGAAGCTGAAGTCGCTGCAGCCTTAGTCAAGTCCCGCGCGCGCTGGGGGGTTGGGGATCAGGCACCTAAAGAAAACACCAACAGTGAAACCCACACAAGCACACTCACACTCACACGCACACCCTTGAAATCAATATACAAAAAATCACGGATTCCACCGTGCTCAGGGCGGCAGTGTCTTGGACTACTTGACTCTCTTATGTTGTTTTACTGTGATATGTCTGTAGAGCTGATGTAAAATCCTACACTGAGTTTCTTGCAAGGGCACTGTCAAAGACTGAAAGCCTTGCAGTCTCTGTGGGGCCTTTCTGGGGCTTTTTTGGGTGGGTGGGTGGGAGGTGAGAGGGAAAGACAGTAGAGTCTTCTAGAGTCTGGCAAACTGTTTTTGACAAGTTAACCAGAAAGATTTTACAGACCTAGATGTAGGTTTTCTTTTTCAGGAAGCGGTTTAAAAGGGCTAATAACATGTACAGTTTCGATGGACGCTGAAACGTATTAGGAGCTACTGTTTTCCCATCCTAGCTTCAAACCTCTTCTTGGACACTGCTGAAAGTTTGCCGGGCTGTCAGATGTGACTGGACAAGCTTCTAAAGCCTCAGCTAGGTCATTTATAAAGCTCAGGTGTCCTTGGGGTGAAAGGATTTCTTTGGGCTTTTAAGGCTGGGTGGGCAATTTTGCTCGGGTTGCTGCAGAAAGCATTTATTTCCCTACCTAAATTCAGAAGATTCCAGCTCTGTAAGATAAAAGTTGAGTTTATGGCGTGTCCTCTAAAGAAAAATGGCAAGAGCTTTTTAATTTATTTTTTATTTTTTTATTAAACTCCTTTTGCTATGTCAGCAAATTAGAGAGCCAGTTGAATATTGATGAATTCTTTGAGGGTGAGTAATATGGCTACAGGCCGAGAAAGTGAGGGAGGGCAGGCTTAAGTATTTACTCAAGTGAACAATCTTCAAATATTTTTCAAATATGATGTCTCAAGGACTTTCTTAGGACCTCTGAAGCCAACACTGCGTCTGCAAGTGGCTTATTTCTTAGTCCCTTTCCAACTTGACAAAACTCACAGGACAAGAATTACTATAAAACATGGCCAGAGCTCATCTTGAGATTAGAAGAGGGACACAGTTCACCAACTGAGAGGTCCCCAGGCCTCTGACTTGAGAGTCAGGCAACTTCTTAATGGGCAATTAGGAACCCAGAATGAAATGTACACCTTCTACTGTTTTTTGTCACTTCTGAAATACTGTTTCAAAGCGGGTGTTTTCAGGAAAATGGTACGTTTTTCTTTCCATTTTCTTTTATGTAGCATTAGAAATTACCTTGATAAGAAATAATTGCAGTCAGCCAGGGGAGAAGAGTTTGGCAATAGATTTGAAGGGTCTGAAAGCACAGCTGAGAAAAATAAATTAGCTCTAAACTGCACATATTCATCAAGGAAGTTATGCATAACAAAGTATTTGGAAAATTTTGGGAAAATGTTTTCTGAAAAACAGTTGTGAGTCTTTGGAAATAGATACTAGTGAATCAAGTTAAACCAAAACTTTTTTTTAATTACAGAAAAATTTTCTAGAGCTTAGCATTTTTATTTTAAATATTTTATGATTATGTTTTTCGTGAAGGACTTGAGTTAGAGAAACAAGACTTTCCTTATGTTGGTAAATATCCAGAAATCTTCAGAGAGATAAAATCAAGGTAGAGTTGTATATTTAACAGAAAGAAAACAATTGGAATCCTATTATGAAGCTTCTACCTTGTTATTTATAAGGACTTCTTTTCAAGGTGAGCAAGGGCTAGTAGTGCCTAGTGACAATATACTCATGCTTGCCCTACTACCAGATTAAACAAAGAGATAGTGTTCTTTGGTGATTTTTATTTTACTTTATGAAATCAGTCATGAAAATAGTTCTTTGCAAAATTTAGAACTTTGGAAAAAATTTTCAAACTTAACTTCTTCCTCCACCATGATCTCATCTAACAAAGCATAGAATGAGTTGGTAAATTTTTCCTTTTCTGCCAAAGAGCAGCTTAGTAAGTCGATGATGGATTTTGCTTTTGATTGTGAGGTCTCTTTTCTTTCTTAATGATACAGCATTGCTGCCTTCAATGCTGCTGAGATTTCATCTTTAAACACGGCATGTTTCACTTGTTGGGTGTGTACTGTTATTGTTAATTACTCTTGGATTTTTGCCCAGTAAATAAAAGACTATCTCAGATGGTTGTCCCTTTGCACAAAGGAAGGCCACAATGAAAGAGTATAGGATGGCCTTAGCCTCTCTTGACATTGTGTTGGTCCTACAGTGTGGCTGTCCTGTAAGTGAGCATGACTTCTTGTTCTTTACACCCAGTGTGGCCTGACAGAGCAAAGTGTAACGACAGAAGTTTGGAGGTAGAAGCCCCATCTTTTGTACGCATGGTAGCCAGAAACAGGGTTCAAGTGTAATCCTAGGCTAGATTTGGCAACTTGCTTTCACTGTAAAAATTATGGTGCTATTTCTAAACTTATACGTCTAGTACTTTCCTGGAGTCTCACCTAATTATGAAAAAGAGAAAAGAAAAATAAAGTCCAATATATATCAGTGTCAACATGTCAAAAGTAATCTTGTTCAGGGAGGCTGAAGTGCATTTGGACAGTTGGTTGCTTTATTTTTATTAAAAAATTGAAGAAAGGCAAACAAACCAACCCAGGAATGACCAGCCCAAGGAGGTCCTGTAAAAAGCACAAGGCTCTGCCAAGTCTGAGTGACATCATTTTCAGGATCTTGCTATGTAAAAGGAAAACACTCCATGGGGCGAATAATATCTTACTGGATAGAGGGAAGAAGAGGGAACAGGAAATTGAAGGCTGCCAAGGGATGCAATCTTTGTTTAAACCCAAGACACAGCTAAATGTTTTCCAAGCATGAAATACTTTGCCAAGAGAGAAAGGGAAAGTCAATGTATATAACTGAAATATTTCCTTGAACATTAACACTGAACTATCCAGAACTCACTTGAAGTTCTTCTTCTCCCCATAACTGTTTACAGTTTTTTGAAAAAATAACACTTGATTGGTAGACTTTCTTAGAGTGGTGGAAAATGTCATTTCTTTTACCTCTGTCTCTTAATTCTTTTTTTTTCTTTATGCAGTGCTGGGAATTGAACCCAGGACCTTATACATGTTAAGCAGTTGCTCTACCACTGAGCTACATTCACAGGCCTTAAAATAATTCTTGGATTACAATGGGATTTAGTTTTTCAGTAGTTTAATGACAATAAGCCTCATCCATTGCATGAGGAAGGAAATGGAGATTTGGACCCAGTTTTAAAGTTTAGCACTTACTCTAAACACAGTGTAGTTTCTTTAGCCCAGAGTCCTCTGGAATGGCTAAGCCATAGGCAGGGGAGAGTGATAACAAGAGCAAGATGGACAGTCAGGGACAGAGCAAAAGACAGAAAGAAAGAAGGTGAAAAAAGAAAAAATCAAGATCCCTCTCATGTGGATATAAGAAAATGGAAAGACCTCCCCTATTCCTGGGTAGGAAGAACCAATATAGTGAAAATGGCCATACTTCCAAAACTCCTATATAGATTCAATACAATCCTGATTGAAATCCCAACAGCATATTTCACAGAACTAGAGAAAACAATCCAAAAGTTCATCTGGAACCAGAAGAGACCTAGAATAGCAAAAGCAATTGTGGGCAACAGAGTCATGGCAGGGAGTATCACAATTCCCAACTTGAAGCTGTACTACAAAACCACTGTGATTAAAAAAACCCAGCATGGTACTGGCAAATAAACAGACCCAAAGATCAGTGGAATAGATTAGAAGATGCAGAAACAACTTCAGACATACTCAGCTACCTCATCTTTGATAAAGGAGCCAACCATCCTCACTGGAGGAAAAATAGTCTCTTTAATAAATGGTGTTGGAAAAAACTGGATTTCAACTTGCCAAAGATTAAAACTAGACTCCTGTGTTTCACCATGCACTAAACTA